AAGGAACGCAGGAGGACGGAATCACCGTTTGCTTTCTCCCACCTTTCTTCTCACTCGTGTTGTTCCTTCTTGTTATGATCCAGAATCCCTGATCAAACCAATCATACGGATGTCGTACGCCATCATTTTGATGCACAAAACGGCACAACTCATGAGTTCTTGCGTCGAAGACAGTACGGTAAATAGTGAATGGACTTGGACTTGTGCAGCGCCTTCCTAGCCTTCTAAGCACTCAGAGCACTTTTGCACCACACGTCATTCCCACATTCACGGCCCTTCATACACTGATGGCCCCCTCAGGACCAACCAAGCATTCACCACCATTCAGGAGCAATTTGGGGTGAAGTGTCTTGCCCGAGGCTACACGGACAAGTGACAAGAGGACCTGGGGATCAAACCGTTGATCATCTGATTAAGGGATGGCCCCCTGTGTCCGTCGCGCACAGTGGGCCTTGCAAGATATTATGAAAAGGTGGAAGAAAGCATTTTTGTTTTATAATCTTTTTTTATGTTTCCGGAAATATGATGTCATAGATATTTTTCTATATGTTATGTGCTTGATGGGGGCAGGAAAGCATCATCTAGGTGAATGTTTCGGCAGCAGCACACAGAGGTGAAAGGTCAAAGGTGAGAGGTTCAACAAATCAATGTAATAGGTTCACTGGGTCCAATTAAGCACAACTGATGAGGCTGAATCATCGATCATTTCCTCTCACGATGTTACTCAGCACGTTGCTCATTCATCTTGCTTTGTCATTCGTTCTTGTACTGCAGGGCTGAAACAACCATGTGCTTTGTTGATTTACCGAATATATTATATAACAAAGCAAAATTCTTAAAAGGTTTTTTAAAAAGACAAAATTGCAGTTATTATATTAGCATTATATTATTATATTAGCATTATATTTGATTCTGTAAATGGTAGTACATGTCTTTAATCCAGAAGTTGTGATGAATAGTGCATTGATGGAGAACAGCATATGCATTAAAATCATCACAGTCATCAGGTTCATCAGATATTCTCTCATTGAGTTAATATGAAGTGCAGAGGGGACCAATGAGCTGTATGTCAATATTGGCTCATGCATTTTTCTAAGTCCTCCTCTATCCTGGTGTAACTTTCATGCGCTGATGTATGGTGGAAACATTTTAATACAATAAATTTGAAAATAATGTACTACGGCTCGAATTCTGTTTAAACTTACAATGTATTTTCCCTGTAGATCAATTTCTCTTTTAATGTTATTCCTCTCACAAACTTACATGACTACCAACACAAACAACCTGTGTGACTAGCAGCTGGTAATTTCCTCATTTACTCTTAGTCTCCCCAGGGGACATGAACACCCGTTTCTCACCATTAATATGTCGGAAAAATGAACTAAACAGGCGACACTTCTTATCAGGCATAAATCTAGGCATTGTTTGGCTTATTATCTACACAAATATAACTTCAGATGAAGTGAAAAACACGCAGCTGTTTCCTGCTTTTGAAAGGGAAGCGAGCTGTCGCAGAGAGAGAATCCCAAACAGTGCAAAGGTGTCCATAAAAGAGGAAGTTACAGAAACAGTGACACAGAGCTACCGATCAGAGCAAAGATGCCACACAGCAATGAAGTCAGTAAAAAAAGCAACAGAAAATAACTGAATTACAGGTGATCAGCTCTGCCCTGTTTTATATCTGGATAGAAAGCTATCGAGATGAGAGGTAACATGTAGCATGCTTACGCATGTTGGAAACCTAAAATCAGAGATGGCACTCACAGAGAGCTTAAGTTTTAAAGCACTCTTAATTTCACATAGCGTGTTTTAATTGTATTGAAATATTAATAACAATTTTTTTAAAACTGAAAAATAAAAAACTGAAGAAAATCCAAGGAGCCTTTTTGTCTCACCCCTGATTCTCCCTCGTAGCCGACGCGGCAACATCTCGGAGTAGCGAAATCGGTCAGGCGCGAAGAGCCGCCTGGCATCACAACTTGAGAGAGAGCTGAATCCTCAAAGGGAAACTCCTTTCCTGTAGAATCCGTAACGCGATGGTTTTGGTTAGTTTGTGAACAAAAATAAAAAGTAGTACAAACAAAAGAAAAAAAAACATACAGAGGAGATCTGCCAAACTGAATCATGGAACTCCAATAACCTTGAAATGCATAATCAGTTGTTTTTTTTGCTAAAATAAAAAAAAATTAATAACTCTGAGCCTTTTTTAAGGTTAGTCATTATCACCGTACCGGCTGAAGATAATTCACAGCAGAGGTGGTGATCATGAATCTGCTGATTTTAATAATTGAATTTTGTTCGGGTGTAGTTTGTCATCTTTATATCATCATTACAAATTAGAAAATAACTGCATCACTGTTCAGATGGAGAAGATTCAAATAAATTAGGTTAAAACACAACAAAATGAAAAGCATTCTTTAAGCACAATTGGTCAAATGAGAATGATGGATTTGATGTTGGTTTGTAACACTGAGGTGAACATCATGGGGGCGTGTGGCCGTTGGTTGTAGAAAGCAGCATAAATTGGATTACACACGCATTCGTCATACATCTCCTATGTCAAGCATACTGTGATGCACTCTTAAGAAACGCATGAATCCAGCGCGTGCGTTGATCACAAACAGGCAAAACGACACGAGAGTGGGAAGAGGTTGAAACCTGCATTGTTTCGTCGCGCACTCAAAGCCGCCGTGGCGCTAATAAGAGAGGGAGAGGCCATTAAAATGTAATTTGGGCCTCGCCTCCTGTTTGAGCAGAGCGGAGGAGTGTACATATTAGCCGCTCGTTCCCTGGCAGACACACAAGTGTGTGTGTGTGTGTGTGTGTGTGCGTGTTTGTGTGTGTACGTGGATGTGCGTCGGTGTCTACGTGTCAAGCGTGACATATTGATTGCTGACGCCCATTTATTTTTTCGGGGTCATCCTGCACTCATTGACCTCCGTGTAATTACTTTTGGGATGACGGGGAGTGTTATTTAAACTCATGACACTCTGATCTTGTTTGCCTCCCCTCTGCTGTTAAAAATGCAATAAATGAGCTAATAATAGACCCTAAACGCAGAAGGTGACGCATTGAGGAGTTTCTCGCTACATTTAATTGTCAAAACAACTGCAACCACCTGTACAATGTGTTGTGAACACTTTGTTTTACAACTTCTCATTGATCAACACTGAATTCAGTGTGAAGAACTCCCAAGTTTGGTCAAATGGAAAGTTTAAAGCCAATCATCTAAACTACTGTTTTTAATTATGACAGTTACCTTTTAAATAATTAATTCATTTTTCCATGTCATTAAAATGTGTCGTCAGAAGTAATCTCACATCACTGCCTCGCCGATTAAATCGGGCGTAATAGCAAGGAGAGGCTTCAGACAGTTGAGCTTGTTTACTCCTCCATTAATAATGATGTTTTTGCAGTTGGATGAAGTACAAATCCAAGATTTAGACAGCTGTCCTTTTTGTAAGTCAGAGAATTTAGGAAAGATTCTCACTTTCTGTCCATAGATTAGTATACTGGGTTTTAAGGTAAATGTGCAGTAGAACTTGCCAGAGCTCCTCTGCACTCTTCACACTCCCTGTGGGAATCTTCGGTGTGTGAAAACAGACACATTTGGGATTGTTGTTTTTTACTTGATGTGATTTATCTTTAAACTTTAGGGTAGCTGTGGTAGTCCAAAGGCAACCGAGGTGTGCCTACATTGTCTCACAATCCCTCTGTGAGACCTCCAGAGTATCTCACACATTTTGTGCGTTATGTACCCAGCTGCAGAGGCATGACATTTAAAGAATACCAATTGCTTTGCACAAGTTCCCTGTCTTATTTAGCATTTAAATGACACTCTTTTGGCTTAGCTTAAGCATTAGCTCCGCTAGCCAATTCAAATACCATTGTATACAGTGCTGTAGTGGTAAAATTAGAGGTGGGTAAAGTCTGAATTTTGTGATCATACAGACCTCGACGCGATGCGAAGCAACGCAACACAAAGCGTCGCGACTCTGTAAGGCTGTCCTGGCTATATTGCATTATGTTATCAGACAATAAAGTTATATATATTGTAGAAAGAAACATTAAGTCTGTCTACTGCTACTGCTAGGTTCCCATATGAACATTAAACAGGTTTATGAGATATTCTTATTTTGTCACCCAGTATCTTTTAAATACAAGTAGTAACATATATTTTCAAATACATTGTCACATAGCTGAATGCCAGGTTAGTTTTTCTCGGTAAAGGGTTGTATATTGGCCGGGCTTAACATGGTTATCTATGGAACGCTACCACAAACATGTTGCCTTGGCTTTAAATATTTAATGTGATCTAGGTCAAACTACTGTAGGTCCTGCAAAAGCACTTAATGTTGTGATGTACATGAATCATGTTGAATTATGTTCATGATTCCTAGAATAATGGGCTAATTGTTTATTGTGTGGAAAGCATTGCCTAAACCTTTTGTGATACATAAAGTGAAACATAATATAAATAGCTGTGTTTGACCAGGGATGAAGATGCAAGCATCAAAGTGACTTTATATGAGTAAGTTGGCCAGTCGATAACATGCAGTGTAGTTTAGTCGGTGTACAGCTAGTTCATACGGCTGGAACAACTCAATAACTGGACCAATAAATCGAAAGCTCAAAGGAGCAAATGGTGCCGAGTGGGCAATACTTTTGACAAGTGTCCCTTGAAACTGTCGCTTGGCTGGGCTCCATTCTAGTCACATTATTAAAAAAAATAATTTTTGGGATAATTTTCCCAAGTTTTACTATCAATAGATCCAGTGAGAAGTGCCGAAACTAATGTTTTAGCATCTCTTGATGCAGCTTTGGGCTCCATAGTCCACCATCGTCATCCAAAAATGACTTTCTCACCTACACTCAGGCAGTTTATGTTTAGAGTGTTTGTCCTTTTCAATGCAGTGTCCATTAAGTATGAGTGCAGGTTTTTTAGTCTGGATGAAAGCCGCATGATTGATTCAGACAGGATGAAGAAAAAATCAAGACACTTACAAAATATGTATTTTAATTATTTTCAGAGCACTCGATGGATGAGTTTTTACAAACAGGCGTTTTCTTCACAGGGACACATATTTCCACATGCACATAGTACAAGGACACACCAAGTGCAGAATACAGATCCATTTTGGCCTCAAACAGATGCTGTGACCATTGGGCTTTACAGGTTCCCAAGCTCTCAAGGAAGATCATTTAAAAAGGGCCAAAGCACACATTCCCAATCGAACCACAAACAAAGAAATCCAGGAGCTGTATCCCTTTGCACAAAGACTTTCAAAAGAAAGAATCTGGTGTGTGTTGTTGGAATAAGAGCACATTCGGTGACAGCTGAACCCGCTAAAAAGGGTGAGAGCTTTGAGTTTTTTGAGGGCAAGGCCACACTGAGGCACCGCAGTCCCTCAGATGTGTACGTGTGAGCCTTTTGGTGCTGGGGAAATGGGTGGGACGGGATTTTGGGGATGAGTCTCAAAAGGCCTATTGCCGCACATTGATTTCTCTCCATATAACACCTTCACAACTACAACTCCTGAAAAGTCATTGCTAATCTGACAGGATATAATTTATTTGGAAATGTTTTTTAACGATCTTCATTTCACAATGTGCGTAGGGTCATTGGACATGCGTATCTTTTTATAAAAACTTGATGTAACGGCTTGTTTGAAAGAGCAGTCGCCCTGATTATTTTGGACATTTGTGTAGAAGCAAAGCAAATTTAAATTCAGCCCTTTATCTCACAGGAGCACTCAATGATGCTGCTGAAGTAGACAACAAGTAGTACAGTAAAATAGCAAATGGTAGGACCATTTTAATTAGTTGAAGAAAAAAATGGATTTTAGCAGGAAAATTAATGCTCCCTCTTAAAACCCCTTTTTTTATGGCACAACGTGAGACTAAGTGGAGGAAAGCCACAAAGTCTATAGAATAATCAATATATGACTCACTCCAGTTTACACCAGTTATATACTGCGTGCTATTAGTTTTCATTCTTCTTCAAACAGGCAAGTATGAGCATTTTTTCTCTCCTCACCATAGTAATTGAGTATGTCCAATGGGCGGATGCCTGCACGCTCTTCTCAGCGCTGCCACAGCACTCTCTCTTGATGGATGGTCATTTTCATCGGCTTGCTCATGCTTAATGAACCCTCCAGTTCATGTCTTAATTGAATGCTTTTTATGCTCCCTTGTTCTGCGCTTTCCTCGTCTCCCCCCCCTGTCCTCCCTTTCTCCCTCCCACCGTCCTTCCCTATACCTTCTCTTGCTCGGCAAGGTAGGACGCTGAAGGCTATGATGTACAAAGGTTCTCTCACGTCTCCAAGGCTTGTGAGACCTCAGGACCGGCAAAGCAAATACCCAAATGCCACTGAGGAAAGATAGGGAGAGGCCGGCAGAGACACCGTAATGCTGACTTTTCCTTCATATGGTTGCATGGTTGCATACACAAAAAGCCTTCAGCAAGCACGTGCGCATGGAGCGGAGATGGTGCTGGACGTGCCAAGCTTTTTAAGGCCCTCATTAGGTAATCTATAGTATTTCACTTAGTTTTAACACAAACACAAGACCTGGTGAGATATTTCTGCACACTGCTTTCTTTTCTCTTCTGTTGTATTCATGTCTTCTTTGTCGTTTCGGAATCTCAGTTTTCTCAGTGCGTCGTCTTAGAAACATTTGGTCAAGCAGAGCTGTGACTCTTCCTCATATTTTACATGGATATTCAAAAACATAAAGGGCGTCCTTGCTCTATTGAGAGTTTGCACTCATTAAGATTTCTTCAAAGCTGTTTTAATATTTTTCTGGACCTTGAGAAATAATTTGTTCTTGTGTCAGTGTCCGAAGCAATTTGTTCAGCTGAAGAAGATTTGAGCGGCTTGCCGGTGTAATTCTAAGTGGTCTGGTGGTCGCTGTGATTCTCCAGCGCAGCGTCTCTGTCGATCAAATCAGTCAATTTGCCGCAACTCAACCACACCAATGAACAATGGCATTAGCTGTGATCAATTGATGAAAATAGATTGCGTTTAATGCAGGACTTGATATTTAACATACATTACGCATAATTTAAGTGATTATTACGCAATATGTAATCAGAAACAAAAGTGAAAATTAGCTGAGAGCTTGCATGCGTGCTTATTAGCATATTAGCTCATTAGGCGTCCGAATGCAAAGCACTCTTGAGAGAGAGAGAGAGAGAGAGAGAGAGAGAGAGAGAGAGAGAACTGCTGTGATATCAAAAGTCAACAAGGTGCTTGAATTACAGAAATACATAAGGTGCATTTCATCAAACAAACGCTTGGTGGACAATATCGGCGGGCTTGGGCTTAAATGTGCAACATTTAAAATTATGAGCATTTAAAGCAGAACATACTAATCTAATTCCCTCTAATTTGAGTGTTGCTGTGCTTTGCTTATATAGTTTGTGGACGTCAAGGCCTTTCTTTTCCTCGACCTAGAAACACACCTAAAAACCGACGAGATCGAATACTTTCAGTTTTAACAGCGTTCTTTTGAAACAAAGTCCTGAATTTGTTGCAAACAATGACCCGAAGTCACCGCATTTGGAATGGATTGACCTAATGAACTTGGGTAGCATTCTAGTAGTAGTAGTAGTAGTATCCTGTCCATCCAAGCCCGCTCGAGAGAATACTCAACTAAGTAGATGTTTGAAGTTCATTTTGAAAAACCAACGGCATCACTGTCGCAATCTGACATAAAAAGTGCTGAAAGCGTCATAGCGTGTGAAGGAAATCCCTCAATCTATGTGGATATGCTCTGAGTATCACCTTTAATAAGGAGCATCCCTCCAGGTTCCGTGTTCTGTGATTCCCGCAGGAGTAATATTAGGTTTTATTTTAGAATAATACAAATGTGCCAACGCCCTTAACCCTCTTTATTGCATATCGCCAGAAAGGGAACGGTTCAGACTCGTGCAGAGTTTGTGAAACTGCTCCAGTCGCGCCGTTTTTTGTTGGTACTCATATCGGCTCCAGCTGGCCCGACGTCGTCAATTTGAACACCTGCCACGCTGGCAACCCGAGTTGTGAGACAACTGCAGCCTTGTTTGTATTCAAATACCAGTATCACCTTAATGAAATGGATATTGCCAAGACGGAACACAATTTGTCAGGCGCTCGCTACGAAAGTACACATTTTATTATGGAGATTAGTTTACAGCTTAATTGACACAACGAGGTCGACGAAACGTGTCAGACATTTGTTCCGCTGGTTAAAAATGCGTTCTTGAAACTCAGAGAGAGGGGGCGGCGGGGCAGCGGACGACAACAGGTGGTCAGCTGTGTGTGTGTGTGTGTGTGTGTGTAGTGGTGGTTCGGTTAGCTGTTAGCCGTACACAATGTGTGCAGACTGTTGACGCCCCACTGTGTCCGGGCGCAGGGCGACGCCTCGGGATCAGAGGTGCACTCAGCTGCGTTATCACCAGTGGCCCCTACCTGTTGGGGAGCAGTTCAGAGTTGTGAGTGAGGAGTAAACAGGCGAGTCAATGGCCGTATTCCACAGGCAATAAAATAGGTTCAGAGAAGGTGTGAGACCCCGCGACCACAACAGCTTAAAATAACCCCAAAACATTGTGCAGTTTGCTGCAGCGGGATGCGAGATTAACCACAGACGAAAACAAAACCGTCGCCGGACTCTCGCCTGGGGGAAGATAACAAAAAATGAAAAATATACACTTTTAAACTCACAATTAAACCGAAATGTGTTGATACTTGAGCATTGGATACAATGGAAAAACTTGCATATGCCTAATGTTGTAGCAGCAGATTTAAATTGTTTAATTGGAGCTATTTGTCTCAACATTCACTCGGTTTGAGTCGAGTCTGCGTTTGTGATTGGGGGGACTTTTTAAACGACCTTAAAATGAACTAAAGATAAATGACAAAATATTTTAACGCAGTCAACGCAACTTTGTTTACTTCCTGTGTACATTGACCCCAGAAACCGCCGCGAGCCTGCAGTCAATTAAGGTTTAATCGGAGAGACCTAGACTGTAGTTGAAGATGGAGAGAACTTTGCATTGGAAGTAAAACTAAGAGCCGCGACATACAGCGGAGAACTGTGCAGACGAATTTCTTCCAGGTGTCAAACAGAAGGTGGCAAACGGACCACTTTAGGAACATGTCGGTAGCTGCAAGCCTAAGCTAGCTGCAAGCCTAAACTAGCTGCTAGGCTAAGCTAGCTGCTAGGCTACTTCCATCTCAACACCTACCCTACGTGGGTGCAAAGGACCACCATTGTCGGGGACAGCAGGAAGACTCGCTAGTTCAACATGTTCCACCGATGAAATCCGGCCTCAGAGATGATCACATGTGTCTAGTTTTGTGTTTAAAATAACACAATTAAACGTAATTACGGCATGTCGATAACACACTTTTTCTAGCGATTACTTGTTAATTTATTAAGATTTGAAAAAAATAATCCTGATTAATCTAGATAAATTAATTTCAAAATGTGAAAAGAATTTGTTATTTTTTTAATTCAAACATAACAGTGGTGTCAGTTTTTTCATCTAACCCTAGGTAGGAAAACCAAAATTTGCTATTTCTTTTACCATGTTAAATAGTCTTATTACTTGCAAGTAAGCATTGCGGTAGGCAGGATCCCTGAAATCCCTTCTCTCTGCTGCACAGTTCTAAAAGTAACATGACTTGTTCAGTTGCCTTGAGGGTGATTTCTTCTTAAATGACAAAAGTGTTTAACACAAATGTCACAATTGCACCATCCATCCAACATCCTCTGAAACTTTTATATAGATTTGACATTTAGATAAAAAGTTTTTAGATAACCCAAGATAATTTTGTGACAATACGGCACCAACAAATTAAAAGCGGTGAAACTCCTCAAGTAATTAGTTGTAATTGATTCATTCAAGGGTAAAAAGCAGACCTTTGCTTTCACATTCTTGTGGTGATGCTCCTTACTCACCTGTCTCTCCAATATCTCTCCACCTAAATAACAGTGGACATTTGAGGCAGAGAAGCTGCACAGTTTGAGACTCTCTAATTTCAATCAAATCAGTTGGCGTGAGGCCAACCTGCCATTCAGCGCTAGGCCCACTTATAGATCAATGGCCTCTGAGCCTTGATAATCTCTGGAATTGATTGGTTGGCTCATTGATCATCGCTCCAGCATCAACCAATCAAACGTCTCTCCAATGAACAAACATATAGCCAAATAAAGACATCCCCCGGAAGTTTGGTCCCAGAGGAGACACGAGTGATGTGAAGGAAATATATGAACTGAAATCCCCTTTAGAAGAGAATATCAAATCGTAAGGGTGCTTAATATTTCACTGGCTTGATGAAATATGCATTGTAGCCCCGAATGGAGGAAAAATGCAATGATTTGGATGCATTATGTATGAGAAGGTCCGCTGGCGAAAAAAAGGACTGCACTGTTGAATAATCGCCATTTCACTATCACAAAAGTACAATGAGATTTTGTTATTACTACGCATCACTCTATTCATTTGCAAAGTGCGTATAGTTTGCATTTTTTATTTGGGACCTCACTTGTGTGTGTGTGTGTGTGCAGAGCATGCATACGCTCACTAATGAGCTCAAGCACCGACTGGTGTCCGCTGTGTCCTTTGCCTCCGCCTCACTTGATGAATCTCTCACTGGTTCAGTCCCGTAGAAGCAGTAGATTAAGCAAAAAAAGTTGACAACACTCGGGCGATGCACACATTTGTTAGGCTGGTAACAGGGGGAAATAACAAAGTCTAGCGAGACGTCGTTATCGGGTAGTGTCTTGCACAAACACAATTGACGCTGACGCCACATGAGGCCGAGTTCAGCCCTCGTTCCCTCGGCCTGAAAAACAGAAGACACATTTCGGTGCACATGAAATTCAAAGTAATACGTTCTTCTCTTTTGTCCCTTTTGAAAAAAAACTTTCAAGGATCTTTATATTTTACATTACACCTTTTTTTGATGTCCTTTCGCTGGCCTGATCAGCGTTTCCTAAAGACTGTGTAAGATTTCTTAAGCATTAGCAGTGTTTCCCAAAAGAGTCATTTTAAAATGCTCTTTGAAACAATATGTTCTCTTTTCTCTTATCCATGGTGCCATTTGCCACATGCTGATACAATGTAGGTCAACCACAGGTGGATGACATGCAACTCAGGGCTCTCAGTGAGCATGTGCTCCCGCTTTGAGGCACTGCCTTGGTGAAAGCGTGTGAAAGGAACAGAGCTCCTGACCTCTTAAATCAGTTAGCATTGGTCTAGTCCACAAACCAGTGGGTCACTGGCGCCTCGTTATTTGATTTGACATTATCTGACCTCTTCTTAAGGTTCTTAAGTTAAGTTTGATTTTTTTTTTCACATTTTGTGCAGGGTAATTAAAAACTGCAACTAAACCAAAAACCGTAGCAGAGGAAGGCTTGTATACTTGTTACGGCTATCTGTTTCCCTCTGAGTGGGTTTAATCCTCAAAGCAGCTACCTGGCCTCATAAATGATCCCTGACTAATTTCAGTTATACCCTGGATTTACTTTTATTTCCTCCACTGTAATGATAATAATAATTTCCTCTGACCTGCAGTAAGTAATGGTGAGTTAATAAGCCATAATTGGTTTGATATATGTCAACCCACAAAGTGCTGGATTTCACAGTTCAGAAGCTTTCAACTTTATTCATCAGTGCTGCTAAATGTAATCGTTGAAACATGTTTGTCAGGTAGGGAATTGAGCCTACTTGCATACTGCATACTTTTTTTTACCCACAAACACTAAATCAACCAGGTGTATTGACATTATTACAAGCAGATCTCGACGGGCTACACAAATTTCCTAGACATCCCGACAAAAATTCAAATTAGGGTGCAACACTGGGGTTCTCCGGCGTTGAATCAGCTCTGCGTCAAATGTGTCGATATTTGCACAGAAATGTTTCAGATGTTTTTTTTTTTCCAAAGTAAATGCGTCAAAGCCGTATTGTTTTGGTAGGCGCAGGCTCCGGTGTTGGACATGGACTTGTACACCCGGCGAAATGAAACGCTCTCGACTCAAACAAACAATTTTTATCGAGGCAGTGTGCAGGGAGGAGTGTGATTCGATGTAGCATGTCTATCCTGGGAACGTCTCTTTTAAAGGGACCGGTTTCCTAAAGTGCACTACTCAATGTTTTACAAAGGTGACTCCCCCCCTGCCTGGTTTAAACTCCCACAGACCCAGATAAAAGGACTGACTGTTCAGAGTTGCTCGGGATTCAAGTCAAGAGGTCTGGCGAGGTGGCATCTTCCCTTTGACTTGATGCAGCAGCTATTCCCTCCAGGTTTGATTGCGTGGTCTGTCCCTCGGTTAAGACGCCTTAAACAAACACACCTCAGACTACTAGGAGGTTTCTGATTGAAAGGTTGCAGAAGTGACACTTTACAGAACCATTCAAACGGTAATGGCTACTACATGATAGGTTTATGTTACATTGCAAGGTGTAAAGCGACTTGATGTGCCTCTTCCTCTCAGATGAGATCCTTCATAGACGGGCACTTCAGTGGGCTCTGTTCTGGCTGCCTTATTACTGGTTTTACTTTGAAGGAGAATAAGACACTCCCATAAGACCCCCTCGCCACCCCCCGTCTGTGTGTAAGACTACACACACCATCTTTCTGATGTCACAATCAGAGGATCGCTCACGGCCTGCGCCGAGTCCACAAGTAATCTTCTACCTATCTTGAATGGAGCCGTCCAAAAATGGCGCAGGGCTTTGTGGCAACCGAGCCATGAACTACAAAGGGCCCTGATCCTGTCTTGGTCTCTGAGACGAGTTGCCTCTGACTGGATCCCGCTGCTTGGTCACACTTGGGCTTTCCTCTGTCTGTGTGTGTGTGTGTGTGTGTCTGAGTGCGATTTAGGGACAGCGACTTGCCTCATAGAAATTCATGAATGCATCTGATGTCAAACAGTCTAAATATTTAAGACACTAAAGGGCAAAGGGAAGAAATGTGCGCAAAGTCACAAGCTATTAATGAATGATTGTCCTCACTCATCTGCAGGTTATTGTAGGTGCTGCACGTGCTCGTGCACACAAGTCTGCAGGGGTAATTAGCTGCGTGCACGCTTAGGATTGGGTGCATGCTGTGCGAGTATTTGGATCTCATAAATATGTATATGTATGCGCTCACGTCACTCTGTGTGGTCACATCACTGTGCACTGCTGTGTGCGTGTTTCGCTCACGTCCAAGCGATGAAATTCAAACAAAAAATATCAAGGCAACTATAACATTTGGGCGCTGTTTGGATGACAGGAAAATATTGGGGTGGCAGTGAAACTCCTTTAATGCTCTCACTTTGATGGTCAATAGAAAGAGAAAAAAATCTTCACTTCCTCAGAGACGAAAGCAGGTCCATTGCTAAAACCCAAATGTATCCAACAAATGAAAGTGTAAGAAAAAGCTTTCTATATTTGTATTCTGGTTGCAATCCAGGGAGT